TAACAGTTTGGCTGAATGGATTCCATGTACTGCTCATAGTCTGAATATGGTTGGATCAGCTGTTGTTGAGTGTTGCCCTGCAGTAGCCAGGTTTTGGGGGATTTTGCAGTCACTCTTTATGTTCTTCTCAGCTTCATCCCAGAGATGGTAAAAATTAGTAAATAACATGAAGCAATATACCTATGGGCTACGTCTACACTGGCATGATTTTCCGGAAATACTTTTAGCAGAAAAGTTTTCCGTTAAAAGCATTTTCAGAAAAGCGCGTCTACATTGGCAGGACGCTTTTCTGCAAAAGCACTTTTTGCGGAAAAGCGTCCATGGCCAATCTAGACGCGGTTTTCCGCAAAAAAGCCCTGATCGTCATTTTCGTGACCGGGGCTTTTTTGCGGAAAACAAATCTCTGCTGTCTACACTGGCCCTTTTGTGCAAAAGTTTTTCGGAAAAAGACTTTTGCCCGAACGGGAGCAACATAGTATTTCCGCAAAAGCACTGACAATCTTACATGAGATCGTCAGTGCTTTTGCGGAAATTCAAGCAGCCAGTGTAGACAGCTGGCAAGTTTTTCCGCAAAAGCAGATGATTTTGTGGAAAAACTTGCCAGTCTAGACACAGCCATGTTGTACAAAGAGTATCAGAAACAAGATGCGCAGCATGGTGTGATCCCACCACACCACTCTATATGAACTATTCTGAAATTCATCAGACTTTGATAGACATAATAGTGTAAAGTGACTAACAACCACCAGCAACTATCCATGAGGCAAAGTCACTGACTAAGAAGTTGGATCAGTTTGAGACAGCTTTGGTGTGCGTCTTTTGGAATGACGTACTACAAAAGACTAATCTTGTGACTAAAGCTCAACAGGAGCCTCGCATTGAGTTGTGCACTGTCATGAATTTATATGATGGTCTTTTAGGACACCTGCGTGATAGCTGCGAAACATTTCCTGTGTTTGAGGCAACTGCAAAAGATCTCAAACCAAAAGATTACAATGAGACCACACAACACAAACGACTGAGAAAGCAATTTTTTGATGAAGTTTGTATGGATAATACTGTCTCGGATTTTAAGTGCCAGGGACAAATTTCATGGATAAACTTATTGTTGAGACTGTCGGATGACAAACGGCATATGCTACATTGAATGAAAGGTTCAGTTTTCTTGTGGGTAAATTAGAGTCCAGTGCTGAAGTCACCTCTAGAGCAATGGCGTTAGTAGATATCTATCCATCAGATCTCGAGGATGCATTTACAGATGAATTTCTATTGTTCTCACATATGTATGCAGAGAAGAAATCTGTGGCCACAATGATCACCTCAAAAAAGATATTTTGGCCTTGGAAAGGGTTCAGAAAAGGGCAACTAAAATGATTAGGGGTTTGGAACGGGTCCCATATGAAGAGAGGTTAAAACAACTGGGACTTTTCAGTTTAGAAAAGAGGAGACCGAGGGGGGATATGATAGAGGTCTATAAAATCACAAGTGGTGTGGAGAGGGCGAATAAAGAAAAGTTATTTCTTAGTTCCCATAATAGAAGAACTAGAGGATACCAAATGAAGTTAATGGGTAGCAGGTTTAAAACTAATAAAAGAAAGTTCTTCTTCACACAGCGTGTAGTCAACCTGTGGAACTCCTTGCCAGAGGAGGCTGTGAAGGCTAGGACTAGAACAGAGTTTAAAGAGAAGCTACATAATTTCATGGAGGTTAGGTCCATAAAAGGCTATTAGTTAGGGGATAGAAATGGTGTCCCTGGCCTCTGTTTGTCAGAGGCTGGAGAGGGATGGAAGGAGACAAATCGCTTGATCATTGTCTTTGGTCCACCCTCTCTGGGGCACCTGGTGCTGGCCACTGTCGGCAGACAGGCTACTGGGCTAGATGAACCTTTGATCTGACCCAGTACGGCCGTTCTTATGTTCTTATATGTTCTGATGATCACTGCACAAATAGCAGACAAGTTGGTGACAAGTTTTCCAAACGTCAATATTGCTTTCAGAATGTCTCTCACCATTTTGGGAACAAATTGTGAAGGGGAGTGCTCTTTTTCAAAATTAAAATATATAAAGAACTGTTTTTGGTCTACCACGGGCCAGAAACGACTCTCTTCCCTTGCACTACTTTCGGTTGAGAGGGAGCTTTTGACCAAAATGACATTTGATGATGTAATCTGTGATTTTGCTATCAAAAAGAGTCACAAAGTCAATACCTTTTGTGTGTTATACCTGGATGTTGTTTGTTGACTAAAGATTTAATACACCTGCATTTAATTGATCTTCAACGTTGGCACATAAAAAATAGCAAATTATTAAGTGCGATTTAGCAGTTTTCTTTTCTTTTACACAATTATGAATTGTTTAGGCCCTAATTTTTGGGAGGCCCTAGGCACTGTGCCTAATGGACACTTTGGCCCTGCAGAAGCCACTAGGGGCTCCCCGCTCCCTTCCAGCGGTCACTGGGCTGGGATTTGGGGACGGGCTTTAGCGGCCGCGGGCGCTGGGAGGCCTTTCCTCCCCTTCCCTAGAGCGGGCGGGGAGGCGCCTGCGCGGGAGGATGCGCCTG